TGTGAGTTTGAGCCCTGCGTCAGGCTCTATGCTGACAACTCAGAGCCTGGAGCCTGCTTCGGATTCTGTCTCTCTCTTTCTCTCCCTGCTCACATATCTCTCTCAAAAATAAATAAACATTAAAAAAAATTATTTTGGGGCGCCTGGGTGGCGCAGTCGGTTAAGTGTCCGACTTCAGCCAGGTCACGATCTCGCGGTCCGGGAGTTCGAGCCCCGCGTCAGGCTCTGGGCTGATGGCTCAGAGCCTGGAGCCTGTTTCCGATTCTGTGTCTCCCTCTCTCTCTGCCCCTCCCCCGTTCATGCTCTGTCTCTCTCTGTCCCAAAAATAAACGTTGAAAAAAAAAATTTTTTTTTTAAAAAAAAATTTTTTTTTTTTTTTTTTCAATTTAAAAAACAATTTGAAAGTAAGCAAAGGCGTTTCACACTATTCAGAAGTAACTGATTACTATGCTGGACTATGGAATTTTGTAGAAGAGGTAGGAGAGTGAAGACATGAGTGGGTTGTTGCACTGGGAGTCATTAAACAGGCCACCTGGGCAGACGGGAGGCAGTGGTCAGAAATCGGAATGCTTGAGTAATTAATGTCCGAGGCCCAGCACCTTTAGGCGGTGGCTGAGTCTAAAGCAAAGCCACATGGGTCAGTGCCTGAGAGGCATGTGAGGCAGGTTGCCCCTCAGATAATGGACTGAAGGCTCTGGTATTGTGGGGAGGTCTTGTCTGCATGGACTTTGAAGTTCTCCAGGATGATGGTAGAAGTTGGTATGGAACAAGTGCCAGCCTCTTGAGGGAGGGGGCAGATCCCAGAGATCTGCAGATAAAATGACAGGGAAGCTAGATGGCATGAATTTCAGAAGTCCAGGGGGTTTGGACTGCCTACTAGAGAGACTTCCATTGTGGGGGTGATGTGAGGCTGGTGAGTGGAGCTGGCTGACACCCTCATAGTCCTCTCCAGCTTGTCAGGATTCACTGCAGATTACTGGGGAAATGACGATCATAAAAGCTCCATAGGGCAGGAGCCTCCTGGGGTAAAGGGGAGGCAGGCCATCAAATCCAAGGAAGGGCGCTTGGATGGCTCAGTTGGCTATGTGTCTGACTCTTGATTTTAGCTCAGGTCATGATCTCACGGTTTGTGAGATTGAGCCCCATGTAGGGCTCTGTGCTGACAGCATGAAGCCTTCTTGGGATTCTCCCTCTCCCTCTCTCTCTGTCCCTCTGCATGTGCTTTCTCTATCTCAAAATAAATTTAAAAATCCAAGGAAATTGTTGGAATAGCAGTCATCTCACTGTGGGACACACATCACCTTTAATAGCTTACCTGTCAGTATTATTTCCCGAATGTTTATATTCCTAGATCTTGGTTAATTTTCCCTGTTTTCATTATGCTCAGCAGGACAGCTGGGACACCTTTGTCCTTTTTCTGTTTTTCTCCCAGAAAAGAATTTGGATTCTTCCTTTGCCTAGTCCTGTTCCATCCACCTGAGTAAATCTTTGGGGCTGATTCAGGCCTTGGGCCTCCCATAACTCAGCCCAGCCCCACTAGTGTCTCCATCAGTTGCTCTGATTCTGAAAGCAGGACTCCCCTGAGCCTGAACTGGGGCCTCCCAGCTCCATCATCAGCTTCAGGAGAAGCTCTTATGCAAGCCCAAGTTCCTGGGCTTCAGTGTTTAATGTTGAAAGCCTAGACTGAAAAGAGACAACAGTGTATATTTTCTTAAGAAATAACAGCATGCTAGGTCTTCAAAGAATAAACTAGTTTAAGGAACAATTTGAGAACACATTAAAGGAAAGGCAAGAGTAGTAAGAGATAAGTGGTAGGAGTTGCTGTACCACCCAAGGCACTGTTAGAATCACCTGGAAGTCTTAGTATAATGCAGATTGCCAAGCCCTCCCCCAATTTCTGATTCAGAAGAGCAGGATAGGGTTTGAGAAGTGCTATTCTGATTGCTTTGGTTTTTCACAGTGAAGCAGGAAGTAGGGTTGAGAATAGCAGTGAACAGGTTGGAGTTGTGAGGTGAGGAGAACATGAATATCCTTAAGAGAGTAAGAGGGAATGAACAAATGGGGGAAATAGAGTATGCTTGCTGGTGGTATTAACTGCATGCTTTTGGTTCAGGGTCAGAAAGAGGATGTGTGGGAAGAGACCATGCAGGATTGCTGTGTAGAGAGCTTATTGTGAGACAGCACAGCTGGACTGTCAGGACCCGCCCCCTCACCTCAGCTCTGACTGTGGATTCCACTGGGACCATTCAGAAAGCTTGAGGTATTTATTCTTTGGGCCTGCTGAGGAATGATGAACTTGGAGTCTGACTCCTGCCCTGGGAATGTAGAGGGCAAGCAGAGCTCACTGACTGCTTCAGTGGTGGGGCCAGGG